TTTATATTATAGTCAATATGCTACTATGTGGTGATTAAAGTTACAATTTTTAATTGCATAGAGTTTCTTATAAACTCCTAAAATACAATTAGAAGCACAAATATAGTATATAAAAGGAATACAATTTTACATATTATGCTTTATTAAATCTAAAGTGTTAAAAGTAAAAGTGATAATAATGATAATAAAATTATGATCAATTATTTTAAACATTTATAAAGTAATGATTTTAATATATTTGAATGTATGCTAATAGTTCTTCACAGATGTTAAAGTAATGTGAATGGTCATTGAAACATCAAATTTGAGGAGATCATGCTGTTCAAATTTTTGATCAGATAATGAGATTGACAAAATTTAGGAACTGAATAACACTAGAATTTTCTCTTCAGGAGAAAACATAACATATTTTATTAAATTATAGTGATAAATCTTTTCTTATTTATGCAGTTCAATCGTATATGCACTAAAACTAACAATAGGAATGGATTCATTAAAACTTTTAAATAAAATTAAATCTTAACAAAATATTATATAGGTAAAAAGTTATTGTCATTATGTATCAGTTCGATCAACAAAACAAATTTCGTGAACCAACTGAATCCTATTGCTCTAACTTACTTTTTTTTAGATAACCGGTCTCCTGAAGGCCAGGGTCCGTGCCTAAAAACGGTGGGAAGTTCAAACATTTCGCATAATTAAAGCTGTGTATGCTTAAAAAACTATCACTACCTAATAAACAATTAGCTGTTTAACTCAGACCTATACATATAGTACTACGATAATACATAGATAAAAATCGTGGGATTCAGATATATATATATATATATATATATAGTAATCGAAAAGTTGTAATGATATCAAATAGCCAAGCGAGTTTTCATATTCTGCTTATTTGTTTTTATCTACAGAATGATTGTTTTGTTAGATTTCTCGAAAACTGTTACAGTCGAACTATCCATTAAAGTTATATGTTGTTCTTACCTTCAACACTTTAAAAATGGCATTGATATTTCGAACTGAAATAATAATTTGCATTAATTGATATTGATACTATGATATTGGTTTTCATGTCGTCGTGCTTGATATTTCTGTTATGGCTTATCAATCGACTGATACTGAATCATGTAGAATCTTTCATCCCCAAAATGTTAAAACAAATGTTAAAAGTACCATGGTTTAAGTAGATGAGAGACCGAAAGTAAAGAAATGACTATCACACGAGCGTTTTGTGACATTTTCTACATTCTACACCATTCATTAGTACTTACTATTGAAGAAGAGGCATCAGGGGCTCTTGCGTGTTTGTTTTATATATTTGAAATAAATATTACCGTGATTTAATACTTAAAAATATATAACTTATTCTATTTACAACGTTTACAATATATTATATTTTAGTGGGAGCTAACAAATTAGTGGAATTAGGGTGAGAAGGACGGATATGGTGATGCCATAGACTGTTAGAAAAGATATAACCAGAACTACCACCCAATTCTCATTTATAATGTAAAAGAAATAAAGGTTGGTGTCCACAACAGAGTCTGATATGTTTAACATTTTGTTTCCTTTAGAAAGTACAATTTTTTGTATCACGTAATCTTATAAAGCTTGGACTTCTACCTTTGGTATCAAGTTACAGTTATCGATGATTTCACAGGGTACCGTTTTCTTCTCACCCAAAAGTTTTGTATAAGAAGGATACAATGCAAAACCTTTTTCCATTGCTCCCTGCCGCAGAGAACAATATTGCCGTTTTGTCAGTCGAAGTGAAGCTATCATAGCTAATGCTTCCTGTGGTGTATAAGGTGTGAAAGTTTTTTCTGGTTCAAATAATTTCTTGAGAGATTCAGGACTTTTAGTTAAGATCCCCTCAATCGCTCGAGCTAGCGTTCGTTTTCCCGATCTTCTGTGTGCAGCTATTACTGCATACTCTAATTCTTGTGGACTATGTTTCAGCAATAAATGTTCTACAGACCTACGTTTCGTTCTTTCGCTTGCATCAAAAAATTCTTTTCTCGGTCGTCCACTTTTAGTATTTTCTTGTATTTGAAAAAATGGTTTTTCAAGCCAATCAGAACACTTTAAAAGAAACTTGTCAAGAACGCGATGGTTAGCTTTCCATTTCACAGATAATGCAGTGCAAAATGTCCTAATCTTTTCTTTTAATTCATCCTCCGAGTTTTCATCTAAATCACCGAAGTTACACTCTTTAACAATATATTTGTAAATTGAATCCCGGACTTTAACAGTGGTTGATGTGGAAACACTTTTTTTCTCGTGGAGGAAATCGAAAACATCCTTCCTCTTGAGCCGGCACTTACCTGTAGAATAACAATATTAATGTAGCATTCTAACATGATATAATGTAACAATAACATATGAAGTTGAAGTCAAAATATTTATAGAAAGAAAGAGAGCATTAAAGTATTTAAACTACCAGATTTTGTACACTTGTATGAAAAAAATAAAACAAGTTCTAAGTTGGAACAAAAAAAATTTCTTCTTTAGAATCTGTTAAAGTACAAACATTGCAGTTTTTTAGTATATTACTATTGCCTATGTCAAATAAATAATGTATTCAAGTTTTGAGATATTTATACTTACGACTCATACTTGGATCCATCACAAATGAACTATAAAACAGGAATATTGTTACAAAAAGAATGCTAGAAATTGCTAACAAATGCTAATAAACGATAGTCACTAACAAACTCTGAATTTTCGACTACAGCAAACTAAGCAGACTGTAGACTGCTACAGACTGCAGACTGTCGTGTTATGGCAATGTTGTTTAGTTCACAGTAGGAAGTGGAGAAATTGTATGTACATACACACATACATACATTCATGCATACATGCTAGAAACTCCTCGCGTGCCAACATCCCCTTCCAACAGTCTTTTGTTTGCTTGGTTTACCTCCCGCTTGTCGTTTGGCTCCTGTAAGCCTGTGAGCATGAGCAGCACTGGTCGAAGATTTGTGGCGGCCTCACTTGAATTGGGAGAGCTTCCTTGAGGTTGCCACGCTACATTTAATGTTAAGTAAAAGAAGGATTACGTGAAAAAGTTGTTTTATTTTTTACTTTATCCCAGACATAGTGTTTTCCATGTTTTTTCGGCCAAACGGTGTAAGCATTCTATGGGAGAAAATAAGAAAAAAATGCCATGTAAACATAAGCTCCAAAATGTCTTTAAAAAATTTTAAGAAAAATATGAAATAATAACGGACTGATTGAAAATATTTATCTATATATGTTAGCTATATATTTCGAAGTGCCACCCGTTTTTAAAAATGCAGTATTGACATCTATGAAAAATTGAACATGTTATTATGTTCCGAATTTCTTTACCGTTTTCTTTCATTTCAGTGAATGCATCAGAGATTCTTTATACTCACTTTTCACGCGAATTAACTCTTGTATAGTAAACTTTTTCTTTTAAACCCCACACGATGTACGTGCGCATGCGTGCATGAGTGTCGCGATCTAAACATTATGACGTTGCTTGCACGATCGGCAGGTGTTAGACACTGGTCGAGCGAAAAGGACGCACTCGTAGGGCAGACGGCAGAACGCGACGAACGTCGACACACAATTTACGATCACGCCCACGAATATGTTTACGACTACGATTTACGAACACGATCACGATTATGGTTTACGATACGGATAACGATACGGAATTATAATATAACGAACACGTCTTACGAACACGATTTACGATTTCGACGTGTGTGATTACGAGAATTATTGTTTACTGCTTTACCGTCTTTTTGTATTGTATTTTGTGTGCATCACTGTTTAGTAATAAATAAAATAGTTTACAAAAACCTACTATCTCTACATTATTATTAAACAACCAAAAATAATAAATGTATCAATAGGATAGTTTCGATGTATGTAATTCGATAAATTCGTCTTTTAAAAATCACTTTGTATATTTGAATATCATTGGCAAGAAGAGTTCTCGTAAACATCGAAAAGCAATCAATTTATTAACGAAGTTCGTAAATTGCAACAATTTTTAGAAATATTTGTGCTCGAAAAATTACTCCATATGTCTGATTCTATCGCTTGTTATCACTATCAAATTAAATGGCACAATAGCCAATGGGCTGCTTAACCATACTTCTAACAAACAGAATTGTTATAAATATTAAAAAGCGAGGAGTAAAAAATTTATTAACGAAAGAAATTCGATTTAATAACTAACCGATCGATTTGTGCAACTAGAAGTCTCTTGTTATTTAAATCTCATTGTTATATTTTATAAACAATTTAAATAATAAAGTTATCTTGTGAACATTGGATAACATCCTTGCAAAATAAATTGTTACGAACATTAAATATTTAGAAATAATCGAATTATCATTCATCATCGATCATGCGAGCAACGTTCGACGAAGCCAGTGGTGGGGTATCGTTCAATTACCTGTTCGGCTCAGAGCTATATATTCTTCAGACAGTTGCTGCTCGTTCGCCGAAGGAAGCAGATAGCATTGCCCTCCCCCCTACCCCGGGGGGCTCCTCTTCCAGAAGTGACTTAACCAAGAGTGGACCTTCGGGGTACCTATGGCCATTTCTGGTCATCTTAGTGGTCACTTCTGGTAATTTTGCCTCTTTTATTTAAAAATTTTTTGTATTTTCGGTATTTAGATTTACGATGTGGCTTTTTCAATGTATGTTAACTTCTCCTAATTTAAACGAATTTTCTTTTCTTTTCAATTTTAATCTAAATTTACTCTACTTTCTCCTAAGAAAATAGTCATTTTCTTAATGTGAGTCCAAATTTATTTTACATTCTTCTTATTTAACAAAATTTTATCTTTAATTTCAACATGAATTTACCTTTTCGAAATAGAAATTAATATTTTGGTATGCCTGGATTATGGAGACTTCAGCACTTCTTAAAAGTTCTAAAAAGTTCTGAAAACAGTTTTATAAAAAGATCTGAGAACAAGTCCATAAAGTTATGAAAATAGATCTAAAAAGTTTCGAAAACAGTTCTAAAAATGTCTAAAAACAGTTCTAAAAAGATATGAAAACAGTGCTAAAAAGTTCTGAAAACGGTTCTAAAAATATATGAAAACAATTTTAAAAAGTAGTGAAAACAGGTCTAGAAAGTTCTAAAAAAATCGTAATCGTAATTGCAGGCGTAAACGTATTCTCGTGGATAGTCGTCGCGATCTGCTTCACGCCCAGCAAGTGTCATTTTATCGATGCGCTAGCCAAACGTTACCAGTCTCTCCTTTCGAATTTTTCTACTTCGCACGACTAGCATCTGACACCCGTCAATCGTCCTAGCATCGCCGCGATGTTTACATATAACACGGTGCTCGCGTACGCACGCACGCTTACGTATCGCGTGGTCTCTATTAATTGCATATGGTGTAGAATTATTGTATTTCTATTAAGTAATAATGAATGAGTGACATAATGGTACTTTATCACTACTTTTGAAGGGTACATTACACTTTTTAAATTAAAATTTGTGTGTTTTTATCACTTCAAAGACAGAAGCAACATTAAATACTACAGTGTATTGGAGTGTAAGTTATCCACGGGAAATTTACAGTGTTGGACTATATGAAGTTGAGGTAATAGTTAGCGAACAATATATATATTGGTGGTTCAAATGTACCAGTGTACGTAGCAGGTTTTATGTAACAGGCACGTTAATAAGTTGTTAGATAATTCTATAGATTCAGATATTACATGGTTTCTAATGTACTATATTTCTACAGAACTTCTTAATGGTGATCTTGAAATTATACAGCCCAATAAAACAGAAGGAAATGATTATGTATCTTCTGCAACAGAAGCAAATATAACAATAAACATACGTAAAGGAGATGTTGATAGTTTACAGAAAGCAACAACAGCAGTTCTTTATTTACAGAAAAAATCACCAACAATTGTAGTGCCTATAACCATGGTGACAACAACAAATTCAACTGTTCCGTTTTCTACAACTGAACCAAATGTGATAACATCAAATACTACTACAGAAGGAGTAGTATCTACTGCAGTGTATGCAGTGTAAATACAATTATATAATAATATACAATACAATTGGTACAAATTGAATTCAACCATCGGACATGTTATCTTTGAATGTAACTTATAAGGGTCCAAGACCTTTTTGTAGACTGGTGTTCGCACTTACATCTTTAAACGCCACCTTGTAATTCACCGGTATTTACACTCCTTTAAGTGTTGCATTACAGTGTTACATATTTGGAGATTTTGCAATTATTATAAATAAAAATACAATTTAAGGTAATTGATATATTCAATTAAAATTTTTAGTAATTTAATTCAGAATGATAAATTTTAAAACAAGGATCGACACACAAACCCACATTACAGCTTTTACATTCATACTTAGATTCACGTCTTTTGTCGTTTGCACTGCAAACAACGCACCTTCTACTTCGGTTTTTCCCTATCGATACATAAACCGATGGAAAATGTCTTTCTGTTAGTCTCAGTGGATGATTATTTCCTGTTCGACATTGGTGATTTGCACTTTGATGATACTTTTCCAGTATTTCCCTAATTAATTGCAACTGAAATTTTGCCATAGATATTGGTTCTTTCATTTTGTGTTTATAAAGACAATAAGCATTCCACACGCATATGTCTAACAAATGAAAGAAAAATTTGCGATACCATTTTAAAGATTTGCGTGTAGAGTTAACAGTGCTTATAACCATGTCAGCTTTATCCACTGTACCCATTGAGTTATTATAATCTAATATGCACACAGGTTTTTGAATAACTCTTTTTCCTCCGTGCCTGACTGCCATTTCAAATTTTGATGTATGCATGGTAGAGAGCATGTATACTTCTTTTTTACCTACCCACTTTATAACTAATAAATTATTGGATGAACGAGAGGTTGCCTCTCCTCTTTTTAATCTATCATCAATCTTTGGCATTCCTTTCCGCCTTTTTCTTACGGTCCCACACGCATTTGTACAATTATTATGTAGTAAACTAAATAAAGCTGGACTCGAATACCAATCATCTACATAAAGGGTATGGCCCTTTCCTAGGTAGGGCTTCATAAGTGCTTCAACTATTGCTCCCGATTTACCAGTATCCTTATTTCCACTACTCAGCATGGTAGATGATCCAGCATAAACAATTAAATCCTGTACAAATCCTGTCTGACAATCACTGAGAATAAAGGATTTTATACCAAATCTATTTCTTTTTGACAGGATGTACTTTTTAAAAGACAACCGCCCTTTATATAAAAGTAAACTTTCGTTAATACGTAGCCGTTGGTAAGGTTGAAATGATTGACTAAATGTCTTTCTTAACATATCAATGATGTTCCGTATTTTGTACAAACGATCATTAGTAGGACCAAGATCATGGGTGAACTGTAGCATCCCTAATAATTTAAAATAGCGGTCTCTAGTTATTATTTCTCCAAAAATATTGCTACGCAGAAGTTCGTCTTTACTCCAGTACTCTGCTAATGATAACTTCTTGTTGCGTGACATTAGAAATGACACAGCAAAAAAACAGTATAGTTCGGCTAATACTGTTCCTTCTATATTGTTTATGTTATTATTTTTTCGAGACCAATACTCATTTGTTTCATTTGCAATCAATTGTACAAACTCTTCAGAGACAAAAAGTTGAAAGTAATCTAAGATTTTTGCTGATCTACTAATGTTTCCTTTAATTCCTGAATCTTCTGATGTAAATTCATGTATTTTAGGGATAAAAGTTTTTGATGTCCATATATCGCAGTAACTGTCATTATCTTCTTCAATCGTCTCTGCTTCTGATTCTGAGGTACTGCATATTGTTCTTCTTTTTTTTTGTAGAGTAAAATTATTTTGATTTTCATTATCTGAATCATTTTCTGAATCAATCAACCCGTTAGGAAATAGAATCCTTTTTAAGTTTCGCTGTAACATTCTGATAAGGGTGCAAAAAGATTTTATAAAACAGACTAAACAAAGCTTCAAACAAAATTTTCAAATTAATGTTGGGAACCTTGAAAAATCAATTGCTGTTTTTCAATTTCTTGTAATGGTTCAAGGAAGATTTCTTGTTATAATATTATACTTTTGTACCAGACAAATACTTCACTCCCGAATAGAAAACACAGAAGAAACTTGTTTGCACGCCGGTTAAGATATTAGCTATTGAAAGCTTGAAAGAGACTGGTGGTATCGCACTGACGCCGACTACAGCCGGCGCTCGTACACAGAGATCATCGAATGGATGCCGTCTACATCCGGCGCTCATAACGAAAGGGTTAAACAGTAAAAAAGATGCTGATTTAAGATAGTTAAGCGTTACCCCGTAAACCTATGTCTTCGTCTCATTTTGTCAGTAATTGTATCTTCACCTCTATCTTCCCGCTAGGGAGTCTAGCCCTTTAAAAGTATAACCTTAATCTTCCCGACAAGTGAATAATGCTAATTTAACCATTTTTACCTGCTATAAGTTCTGGTTCAAATTCTTGCAGAAGAAAAGATTGTCCATTTACACTTGCATTGGTATTTATATACCCTTTCTGGAATACTGTATGGATTTTCATGTTTCCATTGATGCGCATTATGCGTATTAAAAATTCCATTTCGGGAAATGAGGAGTTCCTGAGATCATTCGAAATAACTTTTTCCTTCACAAGAATTTTTTCCGAGGCATCATTCACGAATTATTAACAAAAAAAACAGTGACCAATGAGAGGCGAGCTCGGTTGACGCAAGGCGACCGAGCCAATGAGCGAAACTGAGCTTCATCTGCTCGTTGGCTCGGCCGCCTTGTGCCAGCCGAGCTCGCCTCTCATTGGTCACTGTTTTTCGTTAATAACTCATAAAGAAAACTGCGGATTACATTTTCGCTAAAGAAAAAGTTACTGCAAATAACCTGAAGAACATCTCATTTCCCGGAAGTACCATAATTTTGGGACACACTGTGTATAGCTAATATAGATAACTGATTAGTAAATATGGATAACTTGCGTAAGTAAATACAAATAAAAGAAATACCACTAACATACTTCTAGACCGAACGAAAATGAATCCGTTGTTATTTCGTATTTCTTTCATAACTTTTTAATAAAGCATTTTTAAGCCTATGTTTATATGACATTTTTTTCTTATTTTCGCTCGCAGAATTTGCTGATAACGTTAGGTCGAAAACTCTGGGACACTCTGTATGTGATATAACCACAGACTTTTATATTAAAAGTTTGCAGTAAATATATGTATACAACTGACTTTTTTCTGTTTACATAGTAAGGGAAGCGCGGGAAGCGTTTCTGAAAAGTTATTACCAACTACCGTAAAATAAAAGAACTATTCCAGTGATTAGTTTGTTAACCTAATTTAAGCTAATTACACCTGTGTGATGTTGGCTCTCCATATTAACCAAATTAATGAAACATAGCTCAAAAAATTGCTCTTTAATTGCTGATAAGGTTATTCAATTTAAGAACGCGATCATAAAATACATATTTCGACAGAAGTATAAACTGTGTAAGAAGTAATATGTAATTTTGATGTTTTACATTCATACTTCGAATTACTTTGACCAATGAAAAGTTTAAACACTTTTAATTGCATATGGTGTACATGCACACAAACATATGTGTGTAAACTTGCAACATCGTCATATGGTTTATCCGTCATTCCAAATATTTTGTCATAGGTGAAGATGATTCATTTCAAGTACAATATGTGTGTGTATGTATGTAGTACAATATACATAGTTGTATGTACATAGCATGTACTGTATGGTACAGTATGGTACTTATTTACTTAATTGCATATTGGTTTCTTACTATAGAGAATTTATCTGTCATGAAAGATATGAAATTTGAAAGCAACTTTCAAAATTTGATGTGCTGATAAAATCTAGAACGTATCAAAAATTGAGTAATAATTCTAATATTTATTTTTTACATCTTTATTGGACTTTACATGCTCCATACTATCAAGTTACATATTGTAAAACTGTACACAAAATGATACAGTTGGCAATCGTCAATGCTAACATGTTACAGTCAGAAACATGATATGATATGCGATTAATTGCAGATCGATTGAAAACAAAATCACGTTGTGTAAATATTTTCTAAAATAAATGTAACGGCTCATCGGTGTGCAAAATGCAGGTAGTGCATTTTTCCTGGGGTCTCATTTTGTATATATTATCAACATTTCCAGGTAATTTAACCAATCTTTTAATTGCGTAATTGTGCACAAATTTACTTCCTTTGATTTTGTAATTGTGCATATTGTCATAAACAACTCCAATCATTTTGGATTATTTTATAAGACTCTCCATGTTACAGTTAATGCTGTTGAGTATAACATTACATTGTCCGATGATGGTCCTGTAGTATTAGGTGGAATTATTACATTCAAAGTTGATTTGTTCAAAGAGAATGGTATAAGACCATCAGGGACTTTCAAATATCAGTGGAGAGATAATGCGATACCACCCCATGAATATGAGGTTTGTACTATCATATGTTCTATTCAAAGAAATCATTACTATGAACATATGCAGCGACTTATAAATTACACATGTTCTCCATGTATTACCTTCTTGGTACATACAAACAT